AAGTTTGGGGACCACTGGCTTTCAGCACCCCCACTGTAAAAAGTGTTCCAGCGCCAGTGGTTCAGCAAGACACTCAACAGGTACAGGTTGGCGGTGACTATACATTTGGAAGACAAAACAAGATGGAGAAATCTGCTGATCCACAAAGAAAATTCAGTGATTCATGTAACAATTATATTAGTTTCACACTGGATTTAGTACAATATACGTGAAAGCAAAGGTCAGGTCTTCAGTAAACAATGGAGTGAAGAGGCACAGGAACCTGCAACATTCCCTCTCTCGCAGTTTGCCATTTTTAGTAAGTATATATGGCACTGCTCAGCAAATGGGTGTGCATGCCAAACTGGGCATGTCCACACTGATCAGGAAGAGTAGTCCTTCCACAGGGTCAAAATGGGAAGTGCTCCACAGCCAAGACTTTGCAGCCTCAAAGATGAAGCATCCCTATTAGCAAGTTTGACAGGTGGATCCAAACATTTATGAGTCCACCTGTCTCTCCCATCTTCAAAACCTACCCCTGCACTAGAAAGCATAGAGCCCCAAAGAGCTGTAAGTGCAACAGGTAGGCACTGCGGACTGCACAGGGTTCCACTGCATTCTGGATCTTCTGCACATCCAGAACAGAGGGGGGGAAATCTGCCTATTATAGAGGAAAGCAGAGGCAGACATGGAAAGACAGACCATAACAACAGTCTATAAGCATTGCCTCCCTTCACCACTTTCTTGATATCCCCTATATTGTTTTTCCAGTGAGAATTTTATACCCCGAAGTTTGTAAGTGGGCTGCCTAAATTTGCCATTTCGTTGCCAACTGTCATCATGAAACAAAGCAATTTGTTCACACTTAGGAAAGAAACTACACTGTCCCCTCCAACTAACATAGTTGCTCTTCTGTGGGAAAAAAAATAAATCCTGAAACCCTCATTCATTTTATATATATATACACACATACACACACACATACACATACACACACACTACTACTACTATTGAAAGTCACTCGAGGTAATTTTCATTAATCCTCTTTTAAACTCACTGATCGTTCTTATTAATCCTTGGAAGCCAGACACTAAAAATGTTCACTTATCAAACAAACCTTCCCCAACTGATTTACACATCCAGTCACATGTACACACTGGTTTATAGTTAGGAACAGAGGAATTGCCACATCAGTTGCAGAATTATCCTATGGTCCATCTGAAATACCATTATGCTACTCAGGCTAGGACTTGTCTACATAGGGAGTTATTCCAGTATAGCTATTTCTGATTTATTCTAGAATAAAATCATCCACATATAGAGTTAGAGTGTCCTCACATGGATAGTTAATCCACTTTAAATTCCTAAATTATTCTGGATTAATTTTCATCTGTAGACAAGTCCTTAGAGAGATTAGGTCTAGTCCATGCAATATCACCACATTGAAGGGGGAAAAGCTGCCCGAGTCCAGCAGTAATAAAACTGGACCAAATCCAGAGAGACACCAAACAACCTGCCAGTTTGGTTTCACTGGGAATTGCAAGTCCTCAGCCCAACTCAGGATTTGGGAAAAGATCCTGCTCCTTGCTCTCACTGAAGTTAATACATTTTATTATTGATTTCAATTTAAGCAGGTTCAGGCCATTGGCCCTTTATACACTAAAGCAAGAGGGCTGATTGTCATTTTTATTCTTTATTTTATAAATGCAGATACTAATTTCATTTCTAGATGGCTCTAATCCTTAAATTACTTGCTTATTTCTGTGGCAGCGAATTTCACACGTTAATTTTATATTGCATAAAAAGTACTTTTTATTCATTTTAAAATTTGTCAATTTCATTTAGTCTGTGTTTGTTCTTGTATTATGGGATAGGGTAGGTCAGTTCATTAGAACCAGGCTGCTGGAATAATTCCTATTGGTTTGCTTCTACTGCAGGGCCTAACCAACAGACCAAGAATCAGGAGTTGGGGAGCTTTGCCTGTACAGCAATTGAGCTACTGCCTTCTGTAAAACTTATGTTGTTTAATATCTTCCAAGACAGACCCAATATCCCAAGAACACATACGCCTGCTGTGGAGCCAGCACCCAAGATATTCCACAGGTTGTACTCTTAGAGCCACAGACACATTGTTTATGAGTTAGGCTCCAAGGTCCTGAGCTTTTGCAGGATCAGGGCCCAAGAATTCAGACCTTTAGTATCCACAGAATTAGTTACTACATAATTACAGATCTGAATTATACATATTATTTAAAATGAAACAAGTAGCTGAAATGTATATTTGTATAACTCAGTATGTGTGCTAAAAGATTAAAATAGAATTAAAGTATGTATACTTCTGAGACAGCAATGTATCCTAAAAAAAGAGTTGAAGTTAGAAGTCTCAAAACAATTTTGAAGTGTTTCATTACTAAATGCATGTACCTTGATTAGCTTTATAATTATCCAGATAAGATTGCTTTATTGCACTACTTAATTTCTAAGGGAAAGCAATTCATGAAATGTATTCTGACACTTTAACACTTGATTAAAGAGCTCCCAAATTGCTCTAATATAGACAAATTGGGGGGGGGGGAGAGGGAAGAGATGAAATAGGGGATTTAGAAGTCATTAACTGTATACTAATCCTTTAATCTCATTTAGTTTGTGTTGGACCAGCACAAAATATTACTACTATACAGTACTGGTCACTTACTCATGGAGTTTTATTTCAAGCTAATCTACAATTAGCGTAAATACAAACTAATAACCTATTATGATTAGCTCTAAATTAATTGCAATATTGGGGAAAATGTGACGAATCACTTTAAATATTATTCTATACATAATGCTAAAAATATAATTCAAACATCATCTAGATGGATGTTAAAGAATTTCTCTCATTAAAAACATCATGAATATTAGCCTGGCATATGATATTGCAGTTTAAGAATGACTAAAATGCATTTATATATATGTATATATATATAAATATAAAACAAGTCTCAAGTTTTGGTGAAACACATTTTGATTAATAATATAACATGTTTCTACTTCAATGCACTAATTAGACCCAATCTGCAACTTGTTTCATGAAGACAGACTACTCAACCAGCATAGAGCCCCAATGAAGTCCTTGTCTGCCCACACAAATAGGGGCCTTAATCAACACAACTTTCCTTTGTGGAATTTTGTGATTCCCACTTTACAGATGTGGAAAATGAGACACAGCTTTAAGTGATTTGTTCATGGCCACACAGCAAATCAGTGTCAACACTAGGATTAGATTGCAGCAGTTTCTGACTCCAGCCTCATGCTCAGATCACTAACAAACACTATAAAGACATACTGAATAAAAATTAATCCGTATTCACAATGGATGGACAAGGATACTTATTCCAAATATGTTTTTGTTTAATAAGAACTTTTATAGCTACATACTCAGTGTATTTTTTTAATAAATGAGTGAGGTTTTTAGTAGGGATATGTAACTAACTGAAATTAAATAAAATCAGTCTAAATATATGTGGCTTTAATGCAAAATTGTTTTAATGAAATTTGTGGGGGGAGTTAAAAAAATCCCACAAACTTGCTAACTAAAATGTTTGCTGATTTAGATCTGTCATTATCCGATTTATCCATTCACTTCTGCAGCTGAAACACCAGAGACTGCTACCCACAAGCATAAGATGATGTGCAATATTTCGAAGGTTTAATACACGTTAAAGGCAGAGCCAAACTCTTTCTTAAAACAAATACACTTTTTGACATCAGCTAAAAGATTCTCTGTAGGCAGTATACCAGCCTCTGAAACAACTGTCATTACACTAGTGAATGTAAACATTCTGTCCTCAAAAGCAGCACGGGGCATAGGGGATAAAGAGGTAATAAGAATGAGAAGAAAGATGATAGAGTTTAGAGCCAGATGGAATTTTCAACAAGTTGCATGTTTCCTTCCCAGCAGCAAACAAGCCAAACATGGCAAACAGGCAAACACTAAACATGACAGGACACGTTAATTAACTCCCTTCTTTCTTTCTGTTACCACATTTCCCTTAAGACTAGTTTTGCCAGTCTATTCACCTGGGGAAAAATAGTAAGTATTCAGTAATAAAGTGGCAACTATCACCAGACAATCCCTAGACAATGTGTTCTACCATAGTTTTAAGTCCTGTCATATCTTGGTCCTTGATGGGAACAACTATTTCCTTTTCCTACCTGTAACAGTATCAAGGACTATTACAAAAACAACGAGGAATTCGGAGGCACCTTAAGGTGCCACCGGACTCCTAGTTGTTTTTGTGGATACAGACTAACACGGCGACCCCCTCTGATACAAAGACTATTACCTGATACATTTAGCAGGATCACCAAGATGGGGCAGAAGGTGTTTGAGCAGGGTTGATTCAAATCTAAGGAAGTGGCTGAAGGGGCAGCAGCAAGTGGAAAACTAGACTAGCCAGCCAGGGTAGGTGCTATTTCCACACCTGCTGGGAAGTTCCTGTAATAAGTCACTCCCAGAACCCTGCCATCACTTCCAACTCTGGCACTCCTATAAGCAGGCGCACACTCCATGCAGGGAGAGGAGTTCAATAACCATTTGCCCTGTGCTAACCGCACTGGAGGAGCATGTGAATATCACCCCTCGCTCTCCCACTGCCAGCCACGCCCGGGCGCACAGGCGTGTGTGTGTGTGTATGTGTGGGCGGGTGTCTCAGGAGGCACCTCGGCTCTCCCCCAATGCCAGCCACGCTGGGGGTCTCAGGAGTCACCTTCCCCCAGGGCCAGCCTCAGCAGAGGAGTGGTGGGGGCGGGAGGGAGGTGCGGGGTCTCAGTCACCACACCCGAGGAGCCAGGCGTGCCGGGGTCTCAGGAGTCACTTCACCCGCCGAGCCAGACACGCCGGGGAGGGCCACAGCGGAGAGCGGCCGCACGGGCCACTGGTCTGCTGGGCGCCGCCAGCCGCGATGTCCCCCCAGCGCGTGTGGGGGCTGAGCCGAGCCCTTTCCCTGCCCCCCGCCCCGCTGGGCCGCCGCACTCACCGCCGGCCGCCGCCCTCTCTGCCCGGGACTCAGCCTCTGTGGGCGACCGGAGCTGGCCGACCTCTCACCCGCTCCTCCTCCCGCTGCTGGCTCCGCCTGGCCCCGGGCGGGGGAGGCGGCGGGGCTGGCCGGGCCCGGAGCTCTCCCGCCCGCCACAGGACCCAGAGTTTGCCGGCGCCCGAGCCAGGCAGGGAGACGCCCTCTCTGTGCCCCTCGCCCCAGGGGGCGGGGCTCCGCCTGCTGGTCCCCTCGGGCAGCCTGGGGTGGGAGCTTCAGCGGGTGACACTGCGCTGCTTCCCGCCTCACACCGCCCCAGTACCAGGGATCCTACCGCTCACACCGCCCCCCACCACAGCCTCGCACTGCCCCCGGGCCAAGGAATCCCCACCCACCCGGCGTCACACGGCACATTTCCCCACTCCTTCACATCGCCCCAGTGTCAGGGATCGCCCCATGGGGTCATCCCCTTCCCCGCCCTCACATTGTGCCCCCGTCCCAAAGCCTCCTACCCCCCTGCCAGGGCATACCCTCCCACGCTCCCACACAGCCTCAGTGCCAAAGCATCACCAGGGCCGCCCAAAGGATTCAGGGGGCCTGGGGCAAAGCAATTTGGGGGGCCCCTTCCATTAAAAAAAAGTTGCAATACTATAGAATACTATATTCTCGTGGGGGCCTGGGGCAAATTGCCCCACTTGCCCCCCCCCAGTGGCCCTTAGCATCACTCTGCCACCCACCACCCCCTCCCATCACCACTCCCCACCACCCCCACATCACACCCTCATACTGCCCCAGTGCTGGAGCATCACTCCACCTCCCCCACAACATGCTCTCATGCAACCCCAGTGTCAGGGCAGCACATTGCCTCTCACCACGCCCATACACTGCGCCAATGGGTCACACTGCCCCCAGCAATCCTCTCACACCACCCCAATGCCGGGCATCCCACCACCCTCCACCATGCCCTCACACCACCCCCACTGCACCATCACACTGCCTCAGTGCCAGGATTCATGTCACTCCCCCACACCCTCAGATCACTCTTGTGCCAGGGCTTCCCACCGCTCCCACCACACCCCTCACACTGCCCCAGTGCTAGGGGCATTACTCCTCTACCATGGTTACCGGTTCTCTGCAATATTGCTCTGCCCAGTGTTTACAGAGAGGAAAGCATAGCAAAGCTTGTGACGAAATTGCCTGATATGCCACATCTACTGTTAAATAAAGACTTGTTTAATCCACCAAATGGGCATCTGCCCTCACGTTGCCCTTTGTGGATAAGTTTACCGGACGAGGGATTTACAATAGAGAATGAGTGGTGAGCTTCCTGGTCCACAGAGAAAATGACAATTATCTTTTCTGAGACCCCACTCAATGTCAATCCAGGGTTGATTTACCACTAAGGCAATGGAGCCTTCTGAGCCAGTTTCATACTGGACATGGAATTTGTGCTGCAGCGGAATTTCGGTGACGTTTCAGAGACAGTCCACTATGTCAATGTGGGCAGCCCCAAACCATGACACACATTGTTGAGGACTACAAAATGACTCAACTTCCTGGAGGTCTTTGTGCCTTGAACATAGTTCATAAGAATGCTGTGGCTTGGCTTGACCAGATTACATACACCAAATAATAATAGTGCCAGGATGTCACTCCACTCCCCCCCCCACACACACCACCCCTATGCCAGGGTGTCACTCTACCCCCCTCCATGCCCTCACACCACCCTGGTGCCAGGGTGTCAGACTGCCCACCAGTGTGTGTGTATGTGTGTGTGTGTGAGACAGAGAGAGAGTGAGCGCGCTTTTCCTAAATCCTGTCACTCAATAAAGCCAAATTAATTGGAGCTGTAACTCAATTGTTTTCAATGCAGTTAGAACAAGGATTATTTTCCCCCATATGTTCAAACAAATTTAGAGTTGAGCAATACAGAAGGGAAAATATCCAGTTGCTGCTTTTAATTTAGTTTTCGACCAAATCACTAACCACAGCCCAAATTAGTCTTTGTCTCTGTCCTGGAAGGACCTAATTCTGAGGAGACGCTCAGCACTCCTGACTCCCACTAATTTAAAGGAAAGTTGATGGAATTCAGCACCCTACAGGAAGTGATCAGCACCTTAAAGATTAGGCCTGAAATGTGCAAGGACTTGTCTATGCCCAAACTGGTAAAACTTGCCTTTACTTGTGATTAGCTACTTTGACGCTATGAGTTACTCAAAAATGCATTTGTTTCCAGAAGCAAAGAGCATCTGATTAAAGTTTTACAAAAAGTTATCACTTGCAAGCCAGAAGCAGGCACATGTTATAACACATCACATTCAACTTTGTATTTAAAGGTGGACCTTCCTTAATACTATATCAAAATTGAAAAAAAAAAAGTTTGAAAAGAACACCCAAACATGTATAGTTTGATTTTTACACTTTGCTATTAGTAAAGATATTTATGTTTTGAAAGAGGGCTTCTCTCTCATGGCCTACCTAAGCCTTTTGCTAGATCCTGCAGGGAAGTCACAGTCCCTAACGTTAAAGTTGAAATTGCCACATACAGAATGTATTGTGATGTCACAAATTCAGTATAATAGGCCAAATTCTGCCCTGATTTGCACCCATGAAGCTTCATTGGGAGGAATTTGGCACTAGGGGTAAGATGAAAGAGCAGACAAGTTGTGAAGGAGAAAAAGCTTGTTTTACTACAAATGGCTCCTGTAGTTACCAAACAACATCATGTGCAGGATAGACTCTGCCACTAGAGAACTTATCAGTTGTGAAACAGATATTTTAGCCAAAAGGCGAATATGAAATTAATGCAGAATGTGTCCCTAACCTGCCTGAGAATGAATCCATCAATAGACTCCTTAGTTGTGGTGGGCAGAAGAAAGCACTTTGAGTTTGCAGCTATGGTGCAGTACACTTAGCTTGAAGGTACGCACCCTACAATTTGTCAATTCAGTTTGTAGTTTAGGATTGTTCTTGGATTCCTCACTGATGCTAAGATCTCATGTAATAGAAAGTATTACTCATAGATGCTATCATTTTCAGCTGGCTAGGAGACACCAGTTCATCCTGACCTTGGTTATTCATACTTTTGTCATGTCCAGTCTGGACTACAGCAGTGTCAGAGAGTTCAGGGTGCAATCCAGACCAGTGAGGGGTTGTGTTACTTCTTACCCTGTAACCCTGAGTACCCCACAATGCTTTGCCACTGTAGCTCCCAGCCTAGGAGCCATCCGCTGACTTTGAGGCAGTAGGTCAGAGCCCTCTTTCCTAGACAGGGCATCTGCCACCATAGTTTCTTTCCCCTTTATATAGAAAAAACCTGTTTGTCACTTTTGTCTGTTTATAGTCTCCTGGACATATCATCAGAGAGTATCCATGATTTCACCTACCGAGGTGTTAAACATTTTACAGTGACATTAATGGCCAGTGTGTTATTAGATTTCATTAGCTAGACATATTATATTACATGTCACCTTTTAACTAAATATCGTGACACCAGTGCGTGAGGTGTAATGAGTATGTCAGGCCTGACAAGAGTTGCTAACATGGAGTAGTGAACCATAAGTGGGCCTGTGTGTCACAAGCAGTGCAGTGCATTTGGGCATGAAGTCATCAGCTCTTAGGAAACGCCAGCTAGAATGCTGCAGCGTGTTTCCTCAGCCACTACATCAAACCCATGCTCTGCTCTCCACACTTCCCATAGAGCAGTGAATCAAATTCAAGATCTTGGGCCTTATCTTCAAGGTGCTGAATGAAGGATGACAACTCCATATGACGAAGTGGGACTGTTCATAATGTTTCCTCTGAATATTGTGTGGGTGCCTCCGTTTCCCCTATGCATTTCTTAAGTCTCCAGTGTGAATAAATGGCTGACAATCTGTCTCCTAGCAACAAATGGCCAGGACCCTTCCCCCCCTGCAAGGGAATAACTAAAGGTGAACAAAGAGATCAGGTGACCTCCTGGCCCGGGAAAGAGACAAAGGCCAGAAAGGAGTGGCCGGAGAGGGTTTCAGTTTGGAGCTGGCTGGGGACAGGAAGTGAGGGCAGACGGGGGTGTCTGCCTCGCTGGGCCCCAGAATGGACCTGGCTGAGGGGTCCCGTTCTCGGTACCTACAAGCTCTGTTTTAGACTCTGTTCCTGTCATCTAATAAACCTCTGTTTTACTGGCTGGCTAAGAGTCACGTCTGACTGCGAAGTGGGGGTGCGTGCAGGACCCTTTGGCTTCCCCAGGACCCCGCCTGGGCGGACTCGCTGTGGGAAGCGCACGGAGGGGCATATGCTGAATGCTCCAAGGAGAGACCCAGGAGGTGAAGCCATGTAAGCTTCTTGCCCTGAAGACAGTCTGCTCCAACGGAGAGGAGGCTCCCCAAAGTCCTGACTGGCTTTGTGGGGAGAAGTTCCAGAGCATCGCCCGGGGACTCCGTGACACTCCACTTTTCAGACACAATGGAAATTTCTACCATAAGGGTAAAGCTCAATTGTACGAGAGACAGTTTTCTTGGGGACTGGTCCACGACTGTGGAGTGAACTCCCACATGAAGTAAGGACCATCATAAACTTCACCACCTTCAGCTTCAAGTGCAAGGCAAACTTCATTGATCTGCCTTGTCTAACAAACACACAGCAATGTGTATATTAAAAAAAACAAAACAAAAGAAAGCCCTACAAAACCCATAATTCTCCTTCTGGGGAGAATTTGAGAGGGAGAAAATGAACCACATGTGACAGATGCTAGACATGTTGCACTACTGGAAGGCACTCCAATATTATTCTGTTCTGAAAAGAATAGAATCCCAGAGGCCCCAGATTTCTCTCTGGATTAGAGCTATCAGGAATAAACACATCTGGCCACCAGAAGGCACTGTCTTCATGAAAAATCACCCTTGGGAACATTTGTTTGACAGTTGTGAAACAACATAGGATCAAGTGTCAGAGTGCAGTGATGGGCTTTAAGGGAATGGCTCAGCAGACACTGAAAATTGATGATTTAGAGAGTTAGGGCTAGTCTACACTGGCAATGCTAAAGCGCTGCCGCGGCACTTTAACGTGGCTTGTGTGGTCGTGGCGCAGCACTGCAGGAGAGCTCTCCCAGCTCTCTAAAAAAACCCCATCTCCACGAGGGGCGTGGCTCCCAGCGCTGGTGCACTGTCTACAC